TATACTTAGTTATTATCACTACTGTACAGTTTGGCATCAAACGTTGAAATTGTAAAACATTCATTATCAGGATGCTGGGAAATAGTTTTGACTGGTCGAAGACCACACTGACAATAAAGGAATTCTATATCGTTGGTTGGTATTCATCTGCTGAGCTATTGTGATTGTAGTTTTCAGTCGCTAAATTGAAATTACAAAATGTTTATAAATATTTTCTATAAAATACATATTTCTGTAGTATATTTATTTTTAGTAGAATCAAACAAAATATCTTGACACTTCAGACAGTCGCATGGATTATAAAAAATCACTGACTACTCACTAGCAACTATAACGATGACCCTGAATTCGTTGAGAATTTACATTACAGTTTAGCAGTGTGCACACAATCCATCATGCTAGTTACTCTAAAATACTTTATTTCAGCTGGAATTAATTTTCATAGTTCATTTTCACTGATTGTTGATGAGTTGAATGTAAAATGTAAAGGTATTTTCACTAGATTTTATTTCCACTGATTAATCCCTTCAGCAAAAATAAAAGTACTTTACAGTAGTAGACTCATAGATTAACATATCTTGAACATCGATCACAAATTTCACACATACATTATCATGCATCTCAGGATACATATGCACTTCCATTCATTGAGATAGTGAAATGGCAGCCATTTTGGTGCTAAAAATTTATCAAAATCAAGCATATCTGTCATTTCGTATCAGAATCAGAGTTGTGTATGGACAGATTTCAAACTACCGTAGGTACATACATTCAGACTGTGACGTACGTCATTTTGTTTTTCAGCTCAAATTCAAAATGGCCTACTGTTGGCCATTTTGTTTTAATGAATACTGTTTCGGAGTCTGACATGCCTTGATAATTGCTTTCTAACAAATTATACATGATGCGTTTTATGTTTTTATTCATCAAAGTGGCTGCCTCATTTCAGTTTTGTGTACTTTGTCATGTCATACAATGTCAGTATGAAAAACTGCATTTTATATTTCAGAATTATTATTTTTGGGGGATTTTTTTCTCTCTTTCTATAAATCTTGTATATCCTGATGAATCGCTGTGTAAAAGAACGTTTTAATATACTTGAGTATGGTCGTTACTGTTTCAAGATCATGAACTCCAAGTTGCCACAAAAAATGTTTCACATGTCTTGGTATACCTCAGTACCATTCATAAAAGACCCATTATTTTTATTCATAGAAAATATTGTTCTCTACATCCCCTTATTATCTTGTGTTTGGAGAGTTTTTTCTTATTCCCCATAGAGCCTGTGTATTGAGTGCATTATATAAACTTACTACAATCAGATTTTATTAAAGTTAATAACAATTAAACAATTCTCAATCTCTTTGTAAAACTGTATCAAACAAGTAACCTGTAGAATACTGTGTGGGTAATATTTTTTATATTGATTTTTGTTGCATTTGCAGCAAATAGTTACCAAACAATGAGAAATCTATAGGATTGAATATACCCCACAGCTGGCTTCACATGCATTGTTCATAATTCATATGGTGCTTACACCAGGATTTAATTACAGCACCTAGGCGGTATGTGGTTACAGCTTAATGTTCGAGTAATCGCAAGAAATTGACATGACAATAGAAATTCATTAAAGACTGCCACTCCCATGCAATTAACAGCGAGTGAAATTCCTGGGATTGAAACATATATTTTGAAGTCACTGATGTAGGCAACGAATAACTGCAAGTTGACATAAAGACGAGGTAGTTTATTTAATCAGTGGTCAACTAGAGGCTGAAATTATAATTAATTTGTTTATTTCAATTTCTCCTGACGTCAAATAGAATACACTGGTGAAACACGGTAGTAACTGTGGGTGAAAGGATGTTTTGGGGTGTAGTTTACATTGTATATGGAGTGGTAGGGTCGGGTGTAATGTGTTCATTTCCAACTATTATGAAGTCACGTAGAATTTCACTTAATTTATTTTTGCTGACATGTTTTCAAGCATTACATGTGA